GATAGAGGAGAATTTTGGTTCGAAATTCAAATTGGAGATAGAGATTGGATTCCTTCTAGAAGTTTGACTTCTACTCTATAAATACTATTTTTGAGACAATTTTCGGAATGGTTTTTCGCCCTAATTTTAGAGGTAGCCGAAATTTCTCTATAGAAATTTTAGAAACAATTTTTCAGCCCTAAGGGTTAAGGCTGGCCGAAATTCTCAAGAGAGAAAGAAAGGAAAAATTTTTTCTCCAAAAATTCTACATCGTGCATGTGATGGTGTTTGTGGAAATTCGAGTGTTTATTGTAACCCATTTTGTCTCATGTGTGCCCACACACACGTCTTCGTGGATTCTAGGAATTGATGTAGAAGACATTGGTTTTCTAAACACAAATATCGGAGCAAGGACTGTTCGTGGTCAAAGAACTCAAGTTATCATCCGAGTCGGCTTCCAGGTATTTTTCCTGATTGAGTTCTTGATATATATAAGTTAATGAGATTAATTTATTCGTGCATAAATTAATATAATCTATAGAGTATCTCAAAAGTTTTATGAAAATTTTTGTTATACACGATCCGCCTCTTCCCCCCCCCCCCGCACCACCGCGCTTCCGCATCCGAATTTGATTCGGGCAACCAACAGCACTATCGACGTCAGATCCTCCAAGGAGGAAAGACGAAGGCTTAGCAAAATTCTAAGAAATTTCCTAAGATGACGACCCCAAGGGGCACAATCGACGACAGATCCTCCAAGGAGGAAAGACAAAGGCTTAGTCAAATTCCATGGAATTTCCTAAGACGACAACCCCAAGGGGCACAATCGACGTCAAATCCTCCAATGAGGAAAGACAAACTTAGCGAAATTCTAAGGAATTTCCTAAGACGACGACCCTAAGGGGTCCGCTCGACAACAGATCTTCCAGAAAAGAAAGGCGAAGACTTAATAAAGAAAGCAGCAATCACGAATCAAGGTACAAATTAAAACTGTTGTCCTTTGAATATATATATATATATATATATAAAAGGAGTAGATAAAGTAAAAGATGTCCAGATCAATAATAAAATTACAAAACAAAAGGAGGCAGATAAAATTCCTTCAGGCCTCGCCGGCAGCAGCTCCCGAGTCTTCGCCGTCACCAGGCGGAGAAATATTATCGTTGCCCGCAGGGGGGGAGTTATAAAGAAAGTCTAAATCCCACTCATGACGTTCTTTCTTGATCAGGTTGACAATTTGTTGACCCGCAGATTGAAAGTCTCTGGTGTGGATGTCAATAAGCTCCTGGGAGGTCTTGAACTCCTCAATAACCTCGGCGCGCCTGGCGTCGAAAGCAAATTCGGCTTCTACCTCAGCTTCCCTCTTCCCCTCAGTCTTCCCCTCAGCGAAACGCCTCTCCGCTTCCCTAGCTTCCTCGGACAATTTTTTGTCAGATAAGTCCGCCCGCTCCTTGAGACTCGCGATCTCGTTTTTTAACTTTAGAAGTTCTTCTTCCAAACTCTCCAGCTTGGCCAAGGCCACGTCCCTTTTCTCGTTGGCATCATCTAGCTTTTGTTTGGCGTCAGTAACAAGGGACTGAAGTTTGGCCTCTAGCTCATCCATCTCATTTTTTTCGCTCCTCGACCTTGACAAGGTCAAAGAGGTTGAGAATGGAAAGGACCAGGCTCTGAAAAGTCGAAGGTTAAAAAAAAAAAAAAGAGGAGAGAGAGCCTTACGTGGATCTGGAAGGAAATCTGCTTTCGCTGACGGTCGACCAAAGAAGATTGAGCGGCAGCGACCCAATAAGGCTCAAGAAAGGACTCATAAAGAGCCTGAAAGACAAGGGAGAAACGAGGGAGAAGTTTCAGCATCACCCCAATCTCGGCGTTAGATATATCCGAGACTTGGAACTTGGGGTCCATAATTTTGGCCCCTGGAATAAGCACGTGCTCTCTCGGCGCCGATGGAATGTCAACGTCGGGAATGGGAACCGTCGGCGTCCACGTTTCTGCCACCGGCATTTTGTCCCTGCGTCTTTTTTTCCTCACAAGTTCCGCCTCCGACCCCGAAGGACCTTTGGTCTTTCTGCTCTTCGGGACGTGGGAGGAAGAAGCTTTCTCTTTTCCTTTCGACTGAGGCAGATGGCTCGGCGGGGGCTGTTGGTCTGACGGCGGTTACTGGCTCGGCCCAGACTGCTGGCTGCCAGGAAGTTGGATCCTCAAAGACGCCATTTCTGCAGGAAAACGACGAGGTTAAGATACAGACAACATTGGGAGAGCCCAAGTCACAGTAAAGAAGGGCGTCAAAAGCAAAGAATACCTTTGTCGTTTAGGTGGAAGTACTGACGGACGGCGTCTAAATCAGCGGGGTCTGGGAGATCGAGGATCAGACCAGCTTCGCGGAGGTTTTTCTGGGTCAGAAGCGTGTCAATATGGCGAACCTCTTACGGGAAAGAAAAAGCATGTTCGATCCTCGCCAAGCTGTTCTCAGAGAACTTCGGCCGGTCCTGACTTACTCTAATGCGAACGAAATGTCAGTAGAAAAACGGGAGAAATCAAAGTCAGATAACCGAAAGCCAAGAAAACTCACCCATATTCCCAAACGCCGCCTGCACCTGCCTTCGACGGGGCAGGCGGTCGTTGGGGTGAAAGTTGAAGGGCCCCCGAATCATGAAGAACATAGGCTTCCACCCATGTGACGACGAGGGGGTGCCCAGTATAAGCTTCCCAAATCTGGGCTGGGACCTCCCGTGACCACTCAAGAAATATCACCCCTCACACTTGGCGACGTGGCATAACTTATACATGAATCGAAACTCGTCTACAGGGAGGTCCATGTCGAATCGCTGATGCCATAAAATTCAGGCACCAGCAAAGCAGTACCAAAAGTTTGGCGCCAGCTGGGCGGGAGAAATGCAGTAAAAATGGCAGTACTCCTTTACGAAGGGATGAACTGGAAGGGTCATCCCCGCAGTAACAACTCTGGTATAGACCGGAAGAAATCTGGTCGGCGGCATACTGGTTCTAAAATGCACGTCCGGAAGAAGGTATTCAAACCACCTCCCGTCAATGCACCCTTCCTTCACAGCCCGGATGATGTCTTTGTTCCGGACCCTCGACGCCACAACGTCGGTTGTGAAGAAAGGCTTATCCGGTTCACCACTGGTGGCAGCTAGAGGGGCATCTACCACCGAAGCGGCCACCCCGCTTACACTGCCCCCCGTGAAGGGGATTCGTTCTACAGCTTCGTCCAAGACTCGCTCAAAACTATCGAATTCACTACCGAAGATGTCAACTGGTGCGTATCTAGCTTCGAATCCAGCCTCGACGTCTTCTACGTCTCTCAGCACGGAATCGACGCTGGAAGACGATGAAGAGCAGGAGATCTCCACCATTGAGGGGGGGTCCGGGCGGACGACCGAAGAATCCTCTCGACTGGGGAAACTTTGGGCCATTGTTCTGGTGATTAAACAGACAAAAAGCTAAGTTAAAACCCTGACGTCGAGAGGATGAAAGAACGGCTACTCTAAGCTATGATAACTCAAACGTCATGACTTGGCGCCGACCATTCATACGAGAATGGTAACGGCGAGTGCTCATAGGAGTCCAGGCTCAGAACCCAGAAGCCGGGAGCACACAGACAGCAAGGAAACGATATCCAAAGCAAAAAAATGAAACGAAGTAAGTCTCCCTAGTTTCTATATCCCGCACATTTTTTAGATATATACACAGAGTTCAAACAGAAAGATAGAATGAGCCTATGTATACAAGCAGCAGACAGAGGGCGAAAAGGCTTACCGGAGAAGAAGGGCTCCCGAGAAAGTCTGGAAGGAAGAGTCTGGAAGAAAGAGCGGTCGCGCGGTACGCCTAAGGGTAGAAAGCACGGTCCGGAGGTTGGAGAGGAAGGAGTCCGTCGGAGAAGGCGGCGGTCCAACAGATGCGAAAGAAAAACTTGGAGTTTCGAAAAATGGCTCTCAAGTTCGTAGAGGGTATTTAAAGGGACAGGCATCCTCGACCCTGACCGTTAGATGAAGATCTTAAAAATCCGATGGCCAGGGAAACCTGCCCAGATCTGATGGTGATGAGGTAGGGCGGGAAGCAGGGGGGTCGCGATCCAAAGGCCCATATTCGTTCTTTTGAAATAAAGGCCGTACGTTATCATGAGAAATCAATCGACGTGACGGTTGCGTTCCCCGAAGGATATCTGAAGGTCCCAGACCATCATTGCAAATGGAGGCTCGGGACCGATTTCTCACATCCAAAGCACAGAAGGGCAACCGAACCTAAGTCCGAGGCCACCCAAAACGCGCCCTCGAACTGGGGGGTAGTTGTTGTGTGGGAAAATGTGGCGGACGCGTGGGCAAAGTATACCGCGACACGTGGCCTTGATTAATCCCCACCGAGCAAGGAACCCTCGACGCTTGCAGACTCCTCATATTCCGCTGCGAAGGCCCCAGGACGAAGTCCAAGTTAAGACGACGATCCTTTGTGGCGTCGACCAATTGTGCCGTCGACGCTAAAGGATGAAGATCTCTCGACCGCAGAAAAGGCCATCGAAGAAGGCGGTTAGGCTAAGAAGTGCTGACGACGAAGGGAACGTCCTTTAGGGGACATAACGGGTTACGTGCAGAAGTGGAGGTGGTCTGCAAGCATTAATTGCGAGTTGTCAGACCGCTCCCACAAGGGACAGGAAAGTATTACGGAGAAGCACAGAGCCGTAATAGAAGACTAATCAGCTGAGTGAACAGTGCTAATTAGTGGGCTACGTCTGGGCCTACCGAAGGTGAGCACTTGAGTGCTTCTAGCTGTGAGGGAAACCCCCTGGGTGAAGAAAGCCCAAATATAAAAAGGGAAAGACCCCCAGCAAGGAAGGGGTTGGAAAAAAACTCTAAGCAAAGAACAATTATTGTAAATTGTAAACCTATCCAAAAATAAAGAAATACAAGAATACAGTGGATGTAGCTCTGAACTTCATAGAGTGAACCACTATAAATTCTCTTGTGTCATTTATATATAAGAGGTTTAGTAGACACTCACGCACAGATAATACACCAATTCCTGATACGTTAAAATACACACACACACGGCCGGTAATCTAAGAGGAAACCGAGAAGTAATCCAGTCAGTTTTTTGTTGGCGAAATTTGACCGTTAACAGATACTCATGTCATATATATATATATATATATATGTGGATGATCACAACCCATATGGATTAATTTTGATTGTTGGTCCAATAACAAGCTATATGCTGATCACAACGCCCCAAGATTTATATAAATAAATTGGAAAGTCCCTAGTTATTATTTCTGGTTTTTAACCAACTAGCTCGAGTTTGAAAATGTAGACTTTGTGGGTATCAGAGTAAACACGTATTTTGTGAGTGGTCAAAAAAGTAAAATGATGAATATTGTACGAAAATAGGGAGTGAAATCTATACAGTCCAAGCATTTATAGCAGCAAAGAGGCTACAATCAGCCAAGTAGGGTGTTTTTGTACCCACATTATTTGTATAGAAAGTACACTGTAACAATCGAAATTAATTTAGGAGACGTTTGGTTTATAAATTAAAATTATTTTCACTTTATGTATATTTTTTATGAGAAAAAATACTGTAATAAATCATGAACCATAATTCAAATCATGGTATGAATCTCCTTACTAAACGTCTCCTTACTTGAATTCAATTTTACAACAAGACTAGATTATTTTTTGAAAAAGACAAAAAAACCAAGAGAACTTGTAGCCCATTCCCATGTGCATTTTTTCCCCTTGAAAATGAGAAAAAAAAGAGCTCATATTGTATTACTTATAATAAAACATGCATTTTTGTTTCACCAGTAGAAACTATTTTAATTGTTAGATTAATTTTTTTACAGTTTGATATGGAATTGAAGGTAAAAACAGTTATGCGTCATATGTTGTAAAATTTTTATACAGATATATACAAATCAAATTGTTAATAAATAAATTCAACAATTAAAACAATAATTTCTATTGATCGCGTAAAAATATATATACTATCACGAAGGTTAAAAAAAAGATTATTATTAATACACTGCAAAAGTTATTTAACGCTGCCTTGCTTTATGGGTAATGAGGAAGAAACCCTTTCAAGAACAATAAATAAGCGCAGAAAGAAATGTTAATTTGAGGAGATATATATGAATTTAAGAAAGGGATCAAAAAAATTGCCATAAATGAGATTGGTTAAAGTGGTTTTACAAGAGACAAGGCGTCCACCTGTTTCAACTAACTCATTTACCACATACCCCTAGCCACTCTTACATGACATGTATATATACACACACACACACACACACACACACACATATATATATATATATATATATGCTTATATATAATATATTTGTCTATACAATATTTTCAATTTACTGAGTGCCATCATTCACCTTCTGCATGATGTTCATCACCCCCACTTCCAGACTCCACTCTGTGAGTACAGACCTCTCTATCTCTCCCTCTACTGCATGATCACAACCATATGTATTTTTCTATTTTCATGCGATTTTAATATAAAATATGTCTTATGCATATATATTTGCGTTATGTATTATAATGTTTTTTATATATGTTTTAAGGATCCCATGCTTGATTTATTTCGGCTAACTGTTTTGATTTGTGTGTGTGTGTGTGTGTGTGTGTGTGTATACAGAGAATAATGCCAAATGGGGTTTTTTCAAATTATTAGTAGCCTTTTTTCATGGCGCTATTTTTATGTGTTACTTGCATGTTATTTCCCTCCTTATAGTCTAACTTTTTTCTTTTTTTCTTTTTTTTTTCTTTTTTTTTTTTCCTTCCCTTTCCCCTGCTGTGGGCTCTGTCATGTAGTTTTGGTCTTTTATTTTTTCTTTCCACAAAAGAAGAATAATACATTTAGCTCCTTTTTTTCCCACAAGTTTAACAGCCACCGGGTTTGTAGCATACAATTTATTATTTCTGGTCATAGTTTCAGGAAATACTAGTATTATGATCTTTTTTAATTTGCTACATCTATTTTTCTGGGTCCTTAGAGTTCTTCACAATCTTTTGCCTCCATATAATATGGTCCCATAATAATCGCTAACTAAACAGCCCATATCATTTAAATTTTAGGCTCTTAATATATTACATACTAGAAGTAATAAAATCTGGTTTTGCAAAAATGTAGTGTATTAGATTGTAATTATATGCTTTGTGTGTTTATATTACAATATAGAGATGAGTTCTTCCTTTTTTTTTTTTGTGTTAGCAAATTTAGTACTAGAATTTCATAAACGCTTCTAACTACTTTCAGAAAGGTCAGTGGTGGGTGGTGGTGGGTCATTCATGACTTTGAGGTGGTTTTTTTTTTTTTTTCTCCCTTTTGCGTGGACCTTTTTTGTCTGAAAGATTTTAAAGACTCTTTCACAAGTTGTTTCATCTGAATTTGTAGGCTTGACTTTTTACATACACCAAGTCCTATAAGTCACTTGTGTCTCGAGGCTTCTCTTGCCCAGGTTTGATTGAGATTGACACACAAAGGAAAACCAAAAAAACATGAAATTATTCTCAGCTCAAGTTGAGGAAGGAAAGGAAGGCAAAGATGGCAAGCCTTCGGTTGGTCCGGTTTACCGGAATTTACTCTCTAAGCACAACTTCCCTCCACCTGATCCAGAATTAACCACATCTTGGGATTTATTCAGGTGAAATTAATCCTTTTTTTTTTTCTTTTAATCTGTTATTTTTCTGCATATAATTGGAAGGAAAAAACCAACCCAATGTAGCATATGAAATCTAATGACCAGACTGATTCTTATTTACTTGCTTGTTACGGCTTCTTTAACAAAATGGATGGCTTCTTGAATTTATTGAGCTTATTGAGTATTTTCTTTAATAAATTTTCCTCTTGGAAGTTTCTTGAAAGAAGAAACAAAAAACTTGAATTTCTGGTTAGATCGTTATGGAATGCAGTTATAATTTATAATCTTCTTTAAATAGTAAGCTTAAATTGTGTACTAGACTGCATGGTTTTTGACAAGAATAAGATGTTTGGAATGGCAGCAAATCCGCGAACCGAAACCCCGGAAACCGGATGCTCGGCTGGCGAAAACTTGTTGATGGGAAGGTGGAAAATCATCTTTGAGACAATGCCAGTTTTTTCTTTCCAAGCGTTTGTGACCACTAGTTTTTGGGGGATACTAATTTTTTTGTTTCCTTGTGTACTTTTGTTTTGGTGTTTAGTTTGGACCTTATGTTTGGAAAACATACAAGGAAGTTTACGAGGAAGTTCTTCACATTGGTTCTGCGTTACGAGCATCTGGTGCTGAACCTGTAAGTAAGCATACATATATTTTTATATTATATACATATATATATATATATATACACACACACACGAAATATTTTCTTAATAAAATTTTTATTGGGATTTCTTGATAATCACGTGAGTTGTGACAGGGCTCCCGTATTGGCATTTATGGATCAAACTGCCCTGAATGGATTGTGGCAATGGAGGTACTTTCTTACTTTAACCACATCATCTTCAATTTTTTTTTTGGGTTATTTTCTTACCTATATTTTCTGTTATATAATTCTTTTTAGAAATAGATTGATTTTAAAAAAAAAATTATCAACCATGTAACAACATTTTGTATTCTATGTAGGCTTGCAATGCCCATAGTTTGATTTGTGTGCCTCTCTATGATACCCTTGGTAATTTCCCTCTCAAATCTTTTTTCCCCTCTTAACATGCAGATTCCTATTGAAATTGACATGAGATAGTTAGAAAAATTTTTAGTTTTACTTGGAATCCTTTATTTGGTATAGTGATTTGAATTTAACCTTTGGACGGTTTTCCTGGATGCAGGGCCAGGAGCTGTAAATTTTATCATAGATCACGCGGAGGTCGATTATGTTTTTGTCCAAGATAAGAAAGTAAAAGAAGTGAGAACCAAAAACTGACTTAAAAAGTGACTAATCAATCACGTGGCTAAATTAAAAAGAAATCATGATTCTGATTGGAGATGCATAAACTGTGTATTGCAGCTGCTGAATCCTGATTGCGGATCTTCTCAACGGCTGAAATGTGAGCATTGCAGGATAAATTCTGTGTAGAAACCAGTGAAAAATGCTTGTTAATGAAGCTTGGTTGTGGTGTTGCAGCTATGGTTTGCTTCACTTCATTGACAGAAGAACAGAAGGAGAAGGCGGCCCAGTTCGGGATAAAACCATTCTCATGGCATGAATTCCTTGACATGGTTAGTTGATGAATTACTTGACATGGTTTGTTGAGCTGTTCTAACATTTGACGCAAAACATGTTATAGTAGGCCATGGCAGTTATAAATGGACAAAATTTTATCCATTTCTATGCTAATTTTAGCTTCAAACATGCATTTAAGCAAAAGTGTTATTGAAATTAAAATAGAAAACATCCTCAGATTCCCACACTGTATGCAATTGAGCCAAGAGTTTATTGTTTTGCCAGGGAAAACAAAACCCAATAGAGATTGTTCCACCGCAGACTTATAATGTTAGCACAATTATGTATACCAGTGGTACCAGTGGAGATCCTAAAGGTGTTGTGTTAACACATGAAACTATTGCCTTTTCTGTTAGAGGGGTTGACCTTTTCATGGAACAGTTTGAGGACAAGGTAAACTTGATATTTGAACATCTGATAGATTGTTCTTGCACCATATTCCACTAATAAGTATGAGTACTCTTGCATTTTCTCTTATAGAATTACGGATTCCATTGGAATATTTATCTTGTTTTACTGACATATGCATCTCTGAGTTTGAGCAGATGACAGATGATGATGCCTATTTATCTTTTCTGCCTCTGGCTCATATCCTTGACCGCCTGGTCGAGGAGTACTTCTTCCATAAAGGCGCTTCTGTCGGCTATTATCATGGGGTATTGCTACTGAAAACAATGATGTTTATTAGACTACAATCAATACTCTTTTTTTCTTTCATTTGTTTCTAATAACTGTATTAAATCTCTTATTTGAAGGATCTTAATGCATTGGCGGATGATCTAACGGAACTAAAGCCAACACTTTTTGCTGGGGTGCCTCGAGTTTTTGAACGAGTACACGAAGGCATGGAAATATTCCTGATAATCAGTTTCCAACAGCTTTATCATTGTTTCAGTTGGACCAACTAATCTTGTCAAACTCATTTGCTTTTCAGGCATTAAGAAAGGGGTACAAGAACTCAATCCGAGAAGGAGAAAAATTTTTGATCTTCTCTACAAATAGTTAAGTTGTTCTACTTATTTGTTGATATTCACTTTATACAAGTGTTTATATATTGCTAATATACACTCAATTAGTGGTTCAACAGCAAACTTGCTTGGATGAATTGGGGGTACAAAAACAAAAATGCTTCACCACTAGCAGATTTCTTGGCATTCAGAAAGGTTGTAACTGTATTTTATTCGCTTCACTTGGCTATAATACTCCAGTCAAATAAAATGATTTGATTGTCATCATACAGTTGTTTTTACCTTCTCTTTTATCCATAATCTTTCAGATTAAAGCTAGGCTAGGTGGTCGTGTAAGACTCATATTATCTGGAGGTGCTCCTTTGAGCCACGAGATCGAAGAATTTTTGCGGGTTACTAGTTGTTCCTTTGTTGTCCAAGGCTATGGTAATCCCTCCGATTAAATTAAGTCTTATAGAAAATGCAGTTTCTTACTTATTTCCTTATAGTGCCTAAAAGCGTAAATAGAAATGGTCAAGTCTTGAACCAGACACATTGTGGTTGATTCAGGATTGACAGAAACGTGTGGACCAGCAACTCTGGCCTTTCCAGATGAAATGAGCCTGGTTGGGACTGTTGGTTCCATATCAGTATTCAACGAGTTGCGCCTCGAGGAGGTCCAGGAGATGGGCTACAACCCGCTCGGGAACCCTCCCCGTGGCGAGATCTGCCTTAGAGGGAAGTCTGTGTTTGTTGAGTACCACAAGAATCCTGAGCTGACAAGGGAAGTAATGAGGGATGGGTGGTTTCATACAGGTTGAGTAAAACTTTTTCTTAATGTCAAGAAATTTCCACACCAAGACTCTCCTTATAACATTTAACATTTTCAAGTCCTCGTCATTTTCAGGAGACATAGGGGAAATGCTCCCAAATGGGGCTGTAAAGATAATTGATAGGAAGAAGAATCTCATAAAACTTTCCCAAGGAGAGTATGTTCCACTTGAACACTTGGAAAATGTTTATGCTATCACTCCAATTGTTGAAGATGTAAGTGCCTTCTCTTGTCTTGTATTTCTTTCTATCTTTTTTTTTTTTTTTTTGTTTTTTTTTTTTTTTTTTTTTTTTTTTTTTGTATTTGTTTCTTTCTTTTTTTGTATTTTTTTTTTCATTCTTCTAGTACAGCTGCTGATTGGCCATTTTTTTGGCATTTACTTGTTTAATTGTGTTTAAGATATGGATCTATGGGGACAGCTTCAAGTCATTCATAATCGCAGTAGTTGTACCACACGAGGAAAATACCAAAAAATGGGCATATTTGAATGGTCATATGGGTTCATTTTCTGAACTTTGTCATCTTGATCAGCTAAAGAACCATATACTTTCCGAGCTTAAGTTGACAGCTGAGAGAAACAAGGTATCAAATATTAAGTAATAATCTCATATTACTTCATGACTAGAATCTTTGTTTTTCCCCTTGTTTTCTGCTACAACTGCAAGTTAAAAAGAAAAACATTACTTATCACTATTGGTGATCGTAGTTAAAACTGTCACATAACAGAATGAGACATTTTTTTTTTTTTTTTTTGTAAAATGACGTGTTTTGATGCGTCAAATAACACTGCTCTAAATTAAACGTGGCTCCGAATATTGAAACATCTTTAACCTTTCTTGTGATCTTTCAACCAGCTGAGAGGTTTCGAATACGTCAAAGGAGTGATTCTAGAGCCTCAACCTTTTGACATGGAAAGAGATTTGGTGACCGCAACTTTGAAAAAGAAAAGAAACCATCTTCTCAAGTACTATCAGGTAAAACTCAAATCAAATGCCAAGTTGTTATGGTTTGTTTTTGTCAAAATTTTCTTTTTATAGAACTTGTGATGTTTAAATCATTGGACAGGTCCAAATTGATGAACTCTACCATAACTTGCCCGGAATGAAATGACAAGTTCTTGGTCTGCAACGAAAGAGTACATTCTTCCACAGAGTGTTACTGGTCTTCCCTCTTGTCTAAAAGAAACACAGCAAAACAGGAAAAAAAAATTAAAAATTAAAAAAAAATAAAAAAAAAAGAAGAAGTAGAAAAAGAAAAAAAAGTGTTTCACTTGTGCTATTGGTGTTATGACAGTCAGCTAGTGCTGATATGCATTTATATGTGATGTGTAGTAAATTGAGAACATTTTCCCACTTATCAAATTGCATTATAAGAATTAGTAGATATTCTGTTCTTGGCAATGGCCAAAATAACACATTGCTTTCACCATCAGCTTGGATTTTTAATTATTGGGAAAATGAACTCGGTGAACTGAAAATATAGTTGTATTAAGTCTTTGTTTTTTTTTTTTTGATAAGTGACTTGTATTAAGTCTTTAGCAATAGGCAAATAACTCTATTTTAAAAAGATAAAAAAAAAAATCAATATTATTAAGAAAAATTGTTTTACTCATTGTCAGAAAACGGTGCTAGTTCAAGTTACAATCACAAGAAGTGATGTTTTAGTACACGATAAAATGGACATACGAATTAAAATATTGGTACGTCTCGACCATTTTTCTTGTATAATATTAGAACTGAAAGTAGAAGAATAAAAAGTATTATTTAGGATAATTTGGAAAAACTTTTGCCACCGAATTTTGCTCTCAAACTTTTCTTTCCCTTTTCTCTCAACAATTGTAAGATAAAAGTTGATGAGACCCACCAACATTTTTTCTCCATCTCACTTAACATCCCAAAAATCCTCCCTAACAAATAACTGAAATTAACTAATTTTCGGTCAAAAAAATATCCATTTATTTCTTTCCCTCCACTTTTCATTCATATAAGACAAAGTGTTGGTTCTGTTATGTAAATATTGATCAAGAAATTAACGTTAGCCATGAGAAGCAGAGCTTTTCACTCTTTAACCACAGCCCGCCGCCATATTCATACCTACCCAACGGCCAGTCTCGCCACCCACCTTCACAAAAACGATGAGCCCACAGTCTCCAAGAAGAACCAAAACATTCGCTCCTTCAATAAAATGCTTGCTTTACACATTAGAAGCGGCCGATTACAACATGCCCACAAGTTGTTCGACGAAATGCCTCTGAGAGACTTGGTTTCCTGGAACACCATGTTGTCGGGATTGAGGAAGAGTAAGGACCCACATGGAGTGTATGGATGTTTGTTAGGGATGCGAAGAACCGGTCTTAGCCCCAATGAGTACACGATCTCCACGGTTCTCAAGGCGGTGTTCGGTACGGAGTTTAATGTTTTGGTCTTCCAGCTTCACGCGTTTGTGATTCGTGTCGCGCTTAACTCGTGCTTGTTTGTTGGGTCAGCGTTAATGAGAGGCTACGCAGATGTGGGTGATCCGGTAGTGTTAAGGAGGGTGTTTGATGAGCTTTTTGAGAAGGATGTTTCTTCTTGGACCGCGTTGGTTTCGAGTTACATGAGAATAGGATGGTTGCACGAGGCTGAGAGGGTTTTTGATACAATGCCGGAGAAGAATATAGTTTCTTGGACATGTTTGATGAATGGATATATTGATAATAAGAAGATCAAGAAGGCGCGCACAGTCTTCGATAGAATGGGGGAGAGGAATGTGATTTCTTGGACTGCAATGATCAATGGTTATGTGCAAAACCACTATTTTGCTGATGCATTGCAGCTCTTTGCCTGGATGTTGAGATCAGGTACTCGACCTAATGATTTTACATTTTCAAGCGTGCTAGGTGCCTGTGCAGGCTGTTGTTCGCTTCTCACAGGCCAGCAAGTTCACTCAAGCATCTTGAAGTCCGGAGTACCCGATGGCATTGTCATGTCAAGCTCACTTGTAGATATGTATGCAAAGTGCGGAGATGTTGACGTGGCACTTTGTGTCTTTGATGCAATGCCTCACAAAAATGTGGTCTCGTGGAATTCAATCATAGGAGGCTACGCAAGACACGGGCTTGCAATGAGAGCACTGGACGAGTTCGAGAGAATGAGAAAGAGCGGCATCAAGCCAGATCAAGTTACATTCGTGAATGTGTTATCAGCTTGTGCACATGGGGGATTGATAGAACAAGGCGTGAAACACTTTGGTTCCATGGCGGAAAGCTATGAGATCCAACCGGAAGTAGAGCATTATGCTTGCATGGTTGACCTCTATGGCAGAGCAGGGAAGCTAGAGGAAGCTGTGAATTTGATCAAAGGAATGCCTGTTGAGCCAGACATTGTCGTGTGGGGTGCATTGCTTGCGGCCTGTGGCTTGCATTCGAGTTTAGAAGTTGGTGAGTTTGCGGCCGAGGGAATGAAGAAACTCAAAAATGAGCACCGTGTGGTCTATTCAATGCTTTCAAAGATTCATGGGGAGAAAGGGTCTTGGACCATTGCGATTGAGTTGAGGGAGATGATGAAAAGAAAGCGTGTTTGGAAGCAAAATGCTGGTAGTTGGGTTGAGTCGCACTTTGCTCCATTTTGAAGTAACACTCCTGTATTCTCTTATTCAATGTCCAGAACACCGTTCTAAATTATCAAAATAAAAAAAAATAAAAAAAAAATAAAAAAAAAAAATATATATATATATATACACCATTGTTTGAGGGTATCAAATTTAGATGGTAGACAGTGGTCAACTATTGTCGAGAAAAAGCAAATCGTCTACTCCCTACTCTAACCTTCTACCAAATACGTCCAACACTAATCCTCTCACCCTTCAACAACAGGGCCTTAGTTTTCTTTTCACTAGTCAAACAGTCGGGGAAAATTTTGTTTAGAAGCTTATTGGTTATTACAAACGGTTGATAGAAGCTTATTTGTTGTTGGTTATTTATTGCTCTAATCCACATAATCCAATGGTTACCACCAATTCATTTGACTTCATGTTTTCATCAGATAACATGCAATTTAATTGGAAACGACACAAATTGGAAGGAAGCCAAAATTATGGCAGCAGATCCAGTATGCCATTGCCATCTTATATTTGATTTAACTACCAATTTCTAGAAAATTCGACCAGAAAATCCGAAACAAACTCAGATAGATAGAATACAAGACAACGGTCTACTTAAGCTATCACGGAAAAGATGCATACACGAATCTTCCACAATTTTCCCTGAGCACTGGCAACCGGGAACCATCTGATGAAGAAAAGGCCTTTGATGTCGCAGAGGATAGATGCCTACAGTATCTTTTCTCTGCCACTGGAGGATAAACATCTGGGTCATATTTTAGTAGATAACTTCATTTTCGGTTCCGACTCTCCTCCCTCTCTTTTTCGCGCTTTTTGTAAAGCCTCTCGAGAACTCTCTTAGCCTCACACTGAGGGAAGTTCTCCAGATCGAAGTAATGTGGTGCTATGTCAACTAGCCTGTAAACCAAATATAGTTCCATATTGGAGAAGGGTTAGATTCTCAAAAAGCGAAAACAAAATATTCAGGCTTAAAAATCGGGAAACATCAGACAGTGATGGGACTTTAATATTAGTCGACAAATACAAAAAAACTAAACAAATTAATAGTGATAGACGACAGGAAAGGAAACTAACCATTCGCCACGGATATCTGTTACTGTTCGTATAAAATTTCTGCTCGTTAAGACGTACTCATTGTAGATGACCCATTCAGGTTTGTGATCCAGGCAATTTGAAGGATGCAAGTGCACCACCTGCAAGGCAAATAACGCTCCCTTTGTAGTACCAGTATTTATACAGAGACTCGGGGACACAAAAAATTGGAGGAAAATACCTAATAAGGCGGATACCTGGTTGTCTTTAACAGTCAAGTAGTGTCCAGTGCGCTCCAGATGTGCTACCTGCATGAAATATCCAGCAAGCATCGCCTTCCTTATGTTGATGTAGTAGTCACGGCTGTTGAAATCGGTACTGCATAACTTGAGGTTAAATCGTGCCATGATGCGGACTAGCTGTTGTCTAACATTATCTGCAGACTTCAGAGCCCTATGATTGACAAAGTTTTCGTAACACCAAGATGGATCCTCATCTGTTACACGTGCAAAAAGCAAATAAAATTATTAACACCAACTTCCACTTGATACCTAACTGTAAACTTTTTTACACAAAATTTTAGGGAGGAAAGGGAAAAGACAAATGGTCAATATGTACTTACTATTTTGCTTGTACGCATGATACACATTCAAAAGTGTCAGGTGATCTCCGTCAATGTGCCCAAACCTAGCTTTCGCCTCATCCGCAGCTTTTTGAGCCTCCCTAGGCCGGACAAAGCAATTGGGTACTAAGAAAGAAATTGGTTATCACAGAGGAGGCCCACGGTAGGTCAGCAGATGCATAGAGGCCACACGACACCATTTGCTTCATGAGATAATACTGAGAAACTGCAACTATCTGCATCAGCACTTACTTAGAAATCCTATGGTGCATGCCAACCGGGGGCATGGAACCCAGACATCACAGTTGCTGATGACAAATGACACATCACTACTCAGTCTCTAACTGCATGCACAAGCACTTGCTTGTACATTGACCCGTTAGAGGACATCATGTGCACAGATACCCGTCTGTGCACACGCTCAATAGGCATGAGCATTGAAGTATACGATGCAGCCTTACAGAATCTGCATCTCTACAGGTAAGACTCTAGACAGACAACTAAAAAAACAAAATAGAAGATGGAAGATACCTGAAAGCATGGCAGAAATCGACAGAATCTCATTTGAACAGTTGAATTCAGGGCTTACAACAAGCATCTTAGACATCTGAGGATCTAATGGAAATTCACTCATGATTTCTCCCAGCTTTGTCAGGTTCCCATCATCGTCCAACGCTCCCAGATAATTCAACACCTCTAACGCTCTCATCAATGTCTCCGGAGCAGGGGGATCCATAAAATCAAAATGAACCAGATCATCTATGCCCAGCTTCTTCAGAGTAAGGACTGTATTAGCGAGGTTTGATCTCAATATTTCCGGATAAGTCTGTGGTTGAAGATCATTACTAAAACTCCTCTCTGTGTAAAGTCTAAAACATTTTCCTGGCTGAGTTCTTCCAGCACGCCCTGATCTTTGATGGGCACTAGCCTTTGATATTGGGGAAACCAACAACGACTCAACACGCACTCTTGGGTTGTAAACTTTTTGTTTAGCAAACCCAGGGTCAATAACATAAACTATACCATCTATGGTCAAAGAAGTTTCTGCAATGTTAGTTGACACCACAATCTTCCTTCCAGGTGGGCCTCCCTCGTTCACTGGAGGAGGAGCAGGGTCAAAAATTTTCTGCTGCATTGCCGGAGGAAGAGTTGAATATAAAGGGACTGCTTTCACAGGGCCAACCTGATCACCGAGATTTCCAATCTCTTTGGATATCTTACGGCACGCATCTTCTATTTCCTCCTCTCCGGTAAGAAATACAAGTATATCTCCCTGAGGCTCACACATATGTATTTGCACAACAGTCCGAATTGCTGCCTCCAGGTAATCCCTTTCAGGTTCCTGGGTGTAAAAAATTTCTACAGGATGAAGCCTACCAGGAACCTTCATGAGTGGTGCGCCACTAAAATAACCCTGAAACTTTTCAGCCTCCAGAGTTGCACTCATAACGACCAGCTTCAGGTCAGGTCTATTTTTCAGCACTTCCTTTAGGAGTCCAAAGAGCACATCTGTTGCCAAGGTCCTTTCATGAGCCTCATCAAGAATTATCACCTTATACCGTTCTAAAAGTGGATCTGTCATTGCTTCCCTTAAGAGCATACCATCAGTCAGATACCTACCACAAGAACAAAATATATGTTAAGAAGCCACCTAATGGGAAAGCAACTGACACATATCAAGCACGTTCAAGTCGTCAACGTAAGACCATAAATAAGTATGGAACGTATGAGTTAAGATAACAAACGTACTTCAAAACTGTCCTCGCACTACTGCAGTCCTCAAACCGAATGCTATAACCAACCTCTTCTCCAATGGTTACGTCCATCTCTTCAGCAACACGTCGAGATACTGACATTGCAGCCACTCTACGAGGCTGGGTGCACGCAACCATCCATTTTCTTCTTTTATCTGGATATTCAGCCTCAACAGCTTCCAGAACAAACTGAGGGATCTGTAAAATTGAAGCATCTTTCCATAGTTAATATGTATCATATGCATTTAATTTGAAAAAAAAAAAAAAAAAAAAAACCTCAAGACAAAGATGATCGAAGAGCTAAAAAAAAAGCAGAGGGGGGGGGGGGGGGGGGGGGGGGGGGGGGGGGGGGGGGGGGGGGGCATATGGCCCCCATGAATTTTTCATATTTGATTTTTACTATATGTTTTCTCAAGATATTTTCATATATGCCCCTCTTATCAATAAAAATTTCAAATATATTCTCATAAAATCCAATTTCAAATTATTTTATTTCCTATTGTTCTTTTGATCCTTACCTATTAAATCTAGGTTAAATGTACCTAATTGATTTTTTTTTCTCTAATTTATTCTTATGAAAACAGTTTTTTTTTTTTTTCAAATTGGTCCCTTTTCAGATATGCTTGGATATAATCTAAGCTATATAAAAATTAACCCACGAAAACATTTTTTTCCTCAAAACATGTCCTTAATTAAGAATTTTTTTTTTTCAAACAACCCTATCAATTACGACTTTCTCACACATACATTTTCTCTAATTTGCCCTTGTTGAAGTAATATGTATTCATTCAAATGTGCCATATATTCTTAAAGATCTTTTTTTTCCCTTTTGACACTCGCAGCCACTATTTTCTCATAGGTATTATGTATCTCCTAAATAATTTTCTTATCTAATTACTTGCTAAAATATTTATTACTCAAGTATATTCAGTAGTCTATATATATATACTATTCATCTAACAATATTAAGAGTTGATAGCATTTTTTACGTTCTTAGTTTATGCCCCTCTTGAATCAAGATCCTGACTCTGCCACTGCAAACAACAACATAGTCGATGGAAACAAAGTTAAGGGCTTACGCCAACATTCTCCAATTCGAAAGATAATGTTCTTTATTTTTTTTTGTAAGTTAAACATTGTCTCAAAAGATATCACTTAAGAGTAGGACTGGCAATCTGTGTAGTGACGCGATGACAAGATTTAAAACTCACATGAAATTAATAAGTTTGGGTTTACTATAAGTGTACGTTTGATTCATGAATTCAGAACCATGATTCAGAACCATTCTCGTTTTACGTGTGTTTTCTGTGAGAAAAAATACTATAGCGAGCTACGAACCATGATTCGAAACAAGGCACGAATTTCCCTTCCAAACACACGCTAAATGAGTTTGGGTTATAATTAGGTTGACACAATTAACACGATTAATAAATGAGTTAAGTTAAGGTTGACTTCCTAACACGAAATGATATGAATTGACACGATTAACTATATGTGTCATCTGCAATCTAATGGTATGTGATATAATATGAAAGTTTATATGACATATTAAATACAAATAATGTGAATTTTAATATTTATAGGTAAAATTCATCTATTTTTCTTAAAGAAAAAGATAAATTAATCAATAAACATGTTAAACATATCTTTACCGTATTAAATAAGTCATTATTATATTATTCATTTATTCAATATATTAATTTAAACGGGTAATACAAATTGACATGATTAACATGATTAATAATTTGATCGGATTTAGGTTGATATTTTTAACACGTTTAATAAACATGTCGTGTTTGAGTTGATATTTTCTCACCCGAACACGACCCACTAATATGAATGGCTATCCTTACTTGAGAGCAATGCTCCACCAATCTCTAAGGAGACGCAATTAGAAACGTATTAAATTCCTAAAGAATTCAAGAAAAAGGATTCTAAAAAGTAATTTTCAAGAAAGTTAGCATCTTTAACAAAGACTGCGTAAAAGGAACTCACCATTTTCCCAAAAATTAAGCACCCGCCAAAAAGTTAAACTTTCGTATTAATTCTATATTACCTTCCGTACTAATTCTGGTATCCTCTAAAATCCTCAAAGCAAAAGTCTAAAGCAGTCATTATAAGTTGATAATCTGCATTTTCTCCCAATCTCACAATATACAAGAACAAATGTTACGAATTAAGAAAAATCTCTGGCAAACTAACCTGAGTTGTTTTACCACTACCAGTCTCACCAACCAAAATTAGAGTCTGGTTATTCCTCAAAACCTGCATGAACTCATCCTTCTGCTGCCAAACAGGCAATGTCTTCCTCTTCTCGAGGATCTCAAAGTACCTCTGCGAGTACGGCTTCCCCGTCCACGTATTCACCAGACTATTCCCCGCCATCGGACCTCCGGCACCGTTCGTGTTGGCGATCTTCGCCGACACGGAGGTCTCGTCTACCACGTCAAACAAGCTCACCTTCCTCTTCCTCTCCGTACCCATTAATCTCAGAATCCCGTTGCGAAAACTGTACGGAAACCCTAGAAACTGTCCAACCGAAAGAACGATTGAAGCGGGATCGGAGATTCGAAAGGGGATTTCTCCAGACTGGTTATTTGTAAAGCCCTAGCTAGAAGTAAACCTTACAAGAAAGTTGGGGAAAAATGGCTAGGGCATTCGGTGGGGAGAAGAAGTGAACATTCCAGAATGATTACGGCCATGTCCCTTTTATACGACTACTACTACGTTAGTCGTTAAACCGACAACCTTCGTGTTTGCGCGGTTAACCAGTAGTTTAGACTGGCCCAACCACAAGGCCCAATTTCATCCAGATTAGGCACTTGAAGAAGACAAAATGAAGCCCAGTTCCTCATTCAGTGAACTTGGGTTCATGTAAAAAAAAAAAAAAAAAAAAAAAAAATTATCCTTAAAGAATGCATAAGTCTAAGTCTAGACTTTTTTCCTCTACTCTTAATAAATATCTTTTTATTAATATAATTATTTAACTAAAAATAGTATGAATCAAGAATATAAAGTAAAGATAGTACTCATGCACTTTTATTTATCAAGATTATCATTTAAAATAACTCTAGCCCGATTATAAAGATCCCATTGGACCTAAACTAGCAGCATTTGGGTGGAAAACCAACATATAGTGAAGCCCTCTCGCTTGTTCCAGTGAACTTGGGTCCAAGTGGACAGAAGGGTAATTAACAGGAAAGGGATAAATATTCTTTAAAATTTTATGAGTTAAGATTTATACTTCTTATTCTTAATTAATAATTTTTTTAATCAAATAATTATAAAATTAAAAAAGGTATTAATAAAGAATAAAAAATAAAAATTCATACTCATATATTGTAAAAAGGTAAATTATATAATTTTCTCAAAATTCTTATTATTTTTTTATTAATAGCTAGAGATAATATATTCATAAATCTTAAAACTAAAACGTTAATATCTTTGTACCCAAAAAAATCACTCATATTAAACAAAAGACAAGTAATATTATTTATTTCAATTGCATGGCTTAGAAAAAGTGAACAGAAAAAATACTCATCAAAAGCATATTTCCAAAAACACCAACGTTTAGTACAAGCAATCAATGAAATAATAATATAATTTATTGGGCGTTGATGAGTAAGTATTTTATTTACAAATTAAGTATTTTTGAATTTGTGCGTTTGGTTCAAGGATTCGTGCCATGATTCGTGACTCGCTATAGTGTTTTCTCTCACAAAAAATACACGTAAATCGAGAATGGTTCTGAATCATGATTATGAATACATCAACCAAATGTCGTGTTATTTGTAAGTTTTTAAGTATTTTTGTTAATTTAATGTGTTTTTATTTTGTTTTGTAGGTTAAAGTTAAAGCGGACTAAAAGGAGCGAAAGTTTGGGGTATAACTTTATTATCCGAAGTCCAAATTAAGTGATCTTGGTGATGTTAGAAAGATAATAGATAGAGCTACAATTTTTATGATGACACCAAACACTAATTCGGCCACATAGAAGGCGAAAATCCTCCTTAAAGTTAGACACCCGTTGTAGCGGGAAATCCATCCGCTGCAGCGGATTTCCTACCTGAGACCAGCCCAAAACACACGCTGCAGCGCCCATTTACCTTCCCACTCATTTGTTGCAATGGAAAAATGATCCGCTGCAGCGGTTGCGCCAGTTTCGCTAGGGTTTTCTCAAAAACCTTAGCGGTGCTGCAGCGCCTCCATACGAAATGTTGTCAGTTTGAGTTGATTTGGAAATATATAAAAGGGGAGACCCAATATGGTGGATAATTGGGAAGGAAACCCAAGATATGGAGCCAAAATTCCTAGAAAGAGGAGCTTGAGTTGAAGATTCTTGGAGGATTCATGGTGGATTCTTAGAGGATTCAAGCTTGAAGTTCATCTCCACAGGAGTTCCTTCTAGTCTTTTTTGAGATTTATATATTTGTAGATATTGTATTGAACATATTTTCATTTATGGATTTTTTTCTCTATGTTGAGCTAGATTTCTTATGTTAGGAGGATTGATGTAACTTTACCATGGCAATGTTTTGAATATTTTAGTGCTTGTTAATTAAATTCATTTCTAATCATTTGTGTTTCTCTATGCTTATTATCTAATTTGATTTTCCATTGAATTAGAGATTTAGATATGTGGATTTAGTCTTGGGAAAGTCATTTGCTCATATTGGGATTTGAGAAACACAACCTAAGTTTATTGAGTTTGGGAAGCCAATATAAATTGGGTAATCACTAAATGGGTTTATGCTTAATGAACACTTAATGGATTGGGTTAATAGGGATATTACTTGATTTATTGTGCGTATTATTTTGCTCGACATTGGGGAGAGGGAGTGAGATTACATTAGAAAACCCGTGATTAATGATTAGAGTGAAATTCCTTAACAAGCTCTTGATTTGGATAGACATTGTCTAGTATGTGAAATCAAAACTCCTAGCTAGCTTTTATTATAGTGTTCCATTTGATCCACCTTTTTTACTTGCTTTATTAGTTTACCTTTATTGTTTTAATTAGTTTGTTCTCTCAATTAGGTTGTCTAGATAAAGTTAAGCTATGATAATCGCAGTACTTAACAGTAATTTAATACTTAATCTCTATAAAGACGATATTCACTCATCTTTTACTATCAAAACTTGACACCGTATGCTTGCGGGTTTACAGGCACTGGCAAACTTGACCAAATATAAGTTGACCCCATAAGTCACTATCTCATACCAACCTGCAGTTATTTCAATTTTCCAATTGCACATGGTGATATATGCCAACTCATCCAAATTTTAGTTATTGTATAATCTAATCTAATTAATATTTCTATGTTGCATCAAATTGGTGCTACAATTGTGCGGCCACAAAACAAATTAAAACTTCTACTTTTATGTTTCCCTTTTTAAAATTGATTTTTAAAAACCTTCTAATACGAGAAACAAAAGTTCAACCTTGGCTATTATATTCATATTCACTACAACAAATAAGAGATTAGACGATGTTTATTTAACGGCGTTTTTTAAGAAACTGTCATCTAATGAACTAAAAAATGTGGTACGAATACAAAAAATCTATACGCACACATTAGAAGACAGCTTTTTAGTATATTAGACGACAGTTTCTAGAAATCGTTGTTTATTATGGCACATTTTTTTAAATTATCGTCATTTTTAAAAAAATTGTCGTTTAATGTAAAAAATTTCTAAAAAAAAAAGAAAAGAAAAGAAAAGGCGGACTTTTTTCCACTCATTTTTTTCAGAAAATTTTTAAAGCTTTGATTTTTCATCTATAACTTCGAGCATTCTTTTACTGACTCTAAGTTTGTTATCTCAAATCTCTCCATCTCTCCAATGCTCTCTCTCTCTTCCTGAGACCTTAACTCTCTTTGGACCCGTTTAGTTCGCTGATATGAGTTGAGATGTGATTTTATGTGAGAGTTTTTTACTGTAGCAAAAAAATTTGATGTGACTGTTTCTGAGAGCTTTTTATTGTAGGAAAACTCAAATTCTAAACTCGAATCGGTGAAATGAACGGGGCTTTCTAACTCTCCTCTCAATACTTTAATTTTTTTCCTCTCAAATCCCATCTCTTCTACCCTCCTCACTCCCTCAACTTGGCCGCCGCCTCCAAGAGCCTCACAATCATGCTCATACGTCGCCGACTGTCGTGACCTCCCCTCCATATTCACCACTACACCATGACCATTGAAATAGGTACTTTGTTAATCTTTTAAAATTTCTTTTCTTTGAGATTAGTTTTTTTTTTTTGGTTTGGATTTAGAGTTTTCTTTGATTAATTAGGTATTTTTGTTGTTAGATTTCATATAGACTTTTGGTTTTGAAATATTTGTGTTACATATATATTGATTATGTATGAGAAGGTGAATTTAAAACATATTGTTTTGAATTTTTTCATGTGTGTTGTTCAATGACTTGTGATAACATTTGAAAAAATAATTTTTTTAGCAAAGAGTTAGTTTTCGGCAAAAAAAAAAAATTTTAATTTTTAATACTTTTAACAACGGGTTTTTAAAAAAAACGTTGTTAAAAGTTACACATTAGACGATGGTTACCGTCGTTAAAAGTTGATATTAGACAACGGTTTTTTTTAAAAAACCGTCATTTAATGTGCATTTTTAAACTCTTGTAGTGTCTCAAGCGTGTATTAAACGACGATTAAAATCATCATCATATTTCTTAGATATTTAATGACTCTGAATACAACGACAATTTTTAAACCATCATTGTATTTTTTGACGACGGTTTTTTACCGTCGTCTTATCTCCTATTTGTTTTAGTGACTCATGATTATTCTTCTGTTTATTTTCCACTTGGGCATCTCTATATATTCCAAACTAGTATTACTAACTAACCCGACAGCACAAGTGTACACAGGAAATTTATGTAGCCCTATACTCTTACATCCAACATGTGCGCATGCGTTCATTTATAATTTGATTCATTGCTATACAAATACAAAACATCTATAACATAAATAATACACAATGGGGAAAAATGCACTTGGCCAAGGAACTAAAATGATGAACTTGTAGTTGAAATTTCAAACCTGGCGATTGATATATATATATATATATATATTGTACATTTGCCATAGAATTCGAAAGCTAGGTAAAAATCAAAAGTACAAAAGGAGAAACACATGCGACACATAACAGATAAACAGAACAACACTAGGGTCTAGGAGTACTACAACCCAACAAAAGGCCAGAGCATACGAGACCAACATATAGAAAACCGAAGGAGCATTAATACAAACTACCACATAAAAAAATACGACTACTTCTACGTCATTTTTTCCTCTCTCATTCATTGTTTATTTAAGTGAGAAGAGGCTGAAAAGGACAATGATCATAGCTCATAAATATAGAAATATAAATTCAACTTTCGTCATAAAAGTAGTGTAGAATATCTAGACTTTGTGAACAATAACTTACAAGTCTTCAACTATCTGAAAATAGAAACCCATCGCTATATCAAGCTTAACAATATAATATGTGCATGTTGCACATGCAAGTTGAGAAGATAGAACTAGTAGTACTTGTTAATTACATTGGATATCTATATATTTATGTAATTAGTGATCAACTACTATATAGGTGGCTTAAATGTAAGCAAACTAATATCCCTTCAAGAAGTTACAAAAAGACTTTAAAAAGTTTAAAGATAAGTGCATATCATTCCCATGCATTTGGTATAACCGCAACAAAGCATAGCTGTCTCTCTTTAATATGTGTCAGCGTCAATATGAGTAATTGAATGTTGTACATAACTTAGCTGGCCAATATTTATTATTATTGCAGAAAGAATCGGTACAAAGCCAGTTGCACCGATTAGCATGTATGACTTGACGTAGCTCATAATTAAATAGTCTCATACATGCACATATTATATATAGAATGGCCCACATCGTATAATTCAAAATTTTACGTACTGTTATATCGATATAACTCTAATATGGTGTATCGTTTAGTATAGATACTTTACCATACATAACTTGTACATATATACATATAATGTTGTAATAATTAACTTTTCAATTTTCATCGCTCTTATGTACTGTAAGCGACATTGCCAATATTCTTCTAAGAACTTGTACAATTAACAAAATCACAAAAGAGAACAAGAAGAAAATGTATAAAGAAAATAAATAAAAAGGAAAACTAAATCTTTATATAACAAATAGGATATATTACACATGTATATATATAGAAAAATTATTGTTTCGACTTGATCACCTGAACTCAGCAATGGTTGGAATATACAAATCACACATAAGCACTAAATACAAAATAGCAAGAGTTCCTCTATGATTTCTATCTCTTCTTTTTCATTTTTTATCCTCAATTACTGTAGTTTTGGAACATCGTAATAGAAAACTAACAAAAGAAAAAAAAAAGATTATATATTCAGAATACAACAGCAAAAGAACAGAATTGTTATCTCAATCTTTTTGAGTTGTTTTTAAATTTACATCACTCTGTAGAAGTTACCATCCCTTCGTTGCCCGCCAGAATCAAGTATTTATCCCTCCTCGTTAGCTTTGTGCATTCAAATTCCAACGCCTTCCCAAGCTCGCCCTGCACCTGATTCGCCACGTGGAATCTGGATTCATTACTGTCGCGACACGTGGACAATCCCGACAGCTTTTCCAATATCTGGACGGTGTAGATCGGCGAAGGGTTCATGAGGAAGAAAAGTGGGTCCAGGCACTTGAGCCCACCGGCAGTGGTGCCGTGAAACATGCTTACGTGGGTTCCCACAGCGACCGGGACCACGTCATCCGCGATCTCCGAAAAAAGCGGGCTGAACCTCCCTACACGTGGTTCCCTCGGGACATACAACAAGGTCCCCTTGATTCAACAGCTTTTCCATCTTGATAGAGTCCTGATTGCGGTTTCTCGTCAAACGAACGGTTCTGATTGGCGCGAGTATCTCCGACATTCTGCTCAGGCTGTAGGTGAGCGCGGTGAGGTTGGCTTTCAAGGCGAAGCAGAGGTAGAGCGGGTCCAGCAGAGTTCTGTGGTTGCACACGTAGAGGAGCCCTTTCGACTTCGACTGACCTCCCTCCTTGGGCTTTTTAATTGGGCCGGGGAATTTGGGCTTCGTGACCGTCAAGCGCAGCCCGCTGAAGGCTAGTATGGGACAGGAGATGCCGTAAGGGAGTGACAGGGCAATTGCGACCCTAGCCACGGAGAGGACAAGCCCAAATGGGCCCCACAAAAGGGCTTGTAGGGTCCGCAGAGGGGTTGGTCTAAAAGCCAATCTACCGTCATGGAAGATCAGGGGCTTGGGATAATTCTCTCTGGGTAGGTTCTGCCAGTTTCTCTTGTCTGCTTTAATCACCAAGTACACATCCTGTAAAATTATATATTCAAAACAAACAGCTTTATTTTTAGAGAAACGACACTAATAGGGGTGCGAGGATTAATATGTCTCATATTACCTTTTTTTTTTTTTTTAAAGTAATCTTAGGTATCGTTACTTACCGTTGTGAAAAATGGTTTTCAATCTTGTACTCTTGCGTAATAATTTATGCGAGAGAAAAATTTAAGTACTACATGTAGTAATGTTATCACGACTTATATGCATGATTATTACTAAAATTTATATGTCAATTAATTATATATAGTAACAATATTATATATGATCACCTAAAACTTATCATACAACTACTTGTTAGTTGACAGTAAATCATACATCATGCACTTCTGATGTTAAAGTTTAGAGTTTAAAACTCTCGATTGATCCGCATGTTCGGAAAAAAAAAAAAAAAAAAAAAAAACACCTTAGCAAATACTGCTAACTTTTAATGAAAAAAATTTACTCATGATGTTGGTGATGAAATCTAATACGTACTTTTCTATTTGTTCATGCAAGTTACAATATACATACCTTGCAATGGGAGAATAATTGGTGATGATCGCAAAAGCTGTTGAAGTCGGTGATGCCAATAACATCAGAACCGTTGGTACTGCCTTTCTGATCTGCTGTGACAATTATTTCATCAATATAGGAAGCTACGTCGTGAATATCTTTCTTCTTGGTCTCTTCCATGATTCCCAAATAGTACCCACCAAACACCTTAAGCTCTCTTCCCACCACAACATCAATCTGCAAATAATCTCTCAAGAAACTCTCCACCATAACAACAGGAAAATCCGTGAAAGCCACTCTTTTGGAACCCCTTTGGAGCACCTCGAATATCTCGAACCCGACGTCCTCTAAGTAGAACTTGGGCAGCACGGCGGTGCCAACCCTAAAGCTCTTCTTCTTGATGCCGAAGAAGCAGATCATCACCATCACTTTCAACCCCATTTCCTGGCTCAACAAGCAGATAAAAGGGTACATAACAAAAAGAAGAAGCGACCGAAAGAGACCACCGGCTTCGAAAGCGACGAGCATGAAGTATGGAAACATAGAAGAAGATTTCAGCAAAGATCTTTCCACGTTGAAGATCAGAATCGCGTTGGAGAGCTCATCATGATCATCAGATCTGTGGGAAGAAAGAGTATGAAACTTGTGAAGTTTTTTAACACTTGATGAGTAGCTAATTGCATGCCTGTTGCTGAAACTTCTGCGCAGGGTTTTTAGTTTTCTGAACAGAATGCGGTAGAAGAAGAAGAAGAATATTTTGAAGAAGAAAGCTTTCGCCATATTTTTCTGATACTGATTTTTAGTTGTGATAGGTTTTCTTTTTTTGCCACGTATTGATGATACTGGAATTTACAATCCCTTATTGCGGTCTTTATACAGTTGGAGATATGAAAACGCCCTTGAAGTTGGACTTAATTACAAAGAAAATTGTAATAGTCAATATCTACGCATTGACGTTAACTAACCATGCAACTTCCTTGTTTCCTATTTTCGTTTGTCGGCACTTTTTCTCTGAGGTTTGACCATCATGCCAGCTACATATGAAAATTATGTACATTTGATTAGAAATGATATCTTGTGACTTGTAATTAGTGATTATAATAAAATACTATTACGTGATGTTGTGTGTCAATTCCCCTATAGTGTGTAATAGAGTGCATGTCTTCTATATTTTTTTGTCATTTTATATCAGTTTTGACTTCGGAATAAATTAGAAGGTGTTTGGTATGAGGATTCGTGTCATGATTCGAATTATGGTTCGTATCTCGTTACAATATTTTTTCTCCTAAAAAACACACATAAACTGAGAATAATTTTGATAATGGTTCTGAATCCGTAAATCAAACGTCTATTTAATCAATTTTGAGGATGATATTTTATACTATATATGTATATTTATATTGTGAGTAACTAGGCACCATTCCAACTTCCAAACAAAACCTAGAAACGACTATTTTTTCTATATACGTATATATTTGTTTTATTCCTTTTGGATATCTTTAACTTCTGGACGATGGAGAGTTAATATTTTGCGTAGAACTTGGGTAAAATCTATTGAATAAGTGACGAATAAGCGATATATATAATGTATAAACGACAAGACAGTGAATTATTACTTACACAAACTCAAGAAAGTAGTCTTCCTTAAATGTGCAGTGTGTAATTTACAGATCACAGTACAGATACTACTACTGGCTACAAAATTGAAGGGACTCAGCAGTGGCCACGTGGCCTAGATATAGTATTTATGCCCAAGGGATAATTATCACAGAGTTTGTATATATCATGAAACCTGGTAAAAACAGAATACGTACAAAAATATAGCACGCACTTATAATATTGATTTTGGATCTAGAGTTTTAAGCTTTAAAATTTTTTAACGGTAATGTAAATATGTGTACACATCATGCCCATTACATTCGACAGGAGAAAGTAAAACCTAAGGCTGACAATTCGGGTATCGACAAGACGATATGACTCAAAACCCGCATAAAATTAACGGGTTTAGATTTATCATAAATGGGTCCGAGTCAAAATTAGGTCAAATCCGTGAAACACGATTAAATAACGGGTCATTTTCAAGTTGACCCGCCAACCCGTAATTGATCCGCAATAACCCGTATATTAAACGTGTCATATTTAGGTAACACGATTATACAACCCGTTTATTACCTAGGTTAAAAATGTTTCAATATTATTATATTAATATATTATTCAACTTTTAACCTTAATTTGTTTGTATCTCCCCAACCCCAGCCGCCCACATTCGAAAACGAGACCCAGTAACAGCAAACCTTCGTCTCTTCTCCACTCTCTCTCAACTCTCCTCTCTGCCGCTTCTCAGTCCACCGGACCACCGCCTGACCTCAGTCCACCAGACCACCGCCTCACGCCAGTTTCTTCTTCTTTCTCTTCTTCTTCTTTCCTCTCCACTCACCTTCTTTCCTCTCCACTCGCCACCGTTCCTCTCCACTCGCCACCGTTCCTCTCCACTCGACGCCTATTTCTCTGCTGCAAGCAAACAGGTATTTCGGATTTCTTCCCTTTGGATTTCTCATTTCAGTTTACTTTTTTTTTCCATAACTTTTCTTTTCTCGTTTTGGATTTCAGGCATTTCGGATTCATAAAATCAGAACACCTATTTTTGCTTGTTCTTCTTCGGAAACCGAAACAGGTATTTCGGATTTCAGTTGTTTTTGCTTGCACATCAAAACTTGCAAACCCTTCTTCTCTTCTCCATCGTTCCTCTGATTTTGGCTTTCTAGACTTATGGTTGTCTAACATTTTGAAATGTGATTTCACTCTTTTGATCTGTTGATGTTCAATGTTTTTTAGTACATGCTATTGATTGTTTGAAATGTGATTTCACTCTGTGGATATTTGTGATTTCACTCTGTGGATATTTGTTGTGATGATCTGAGACCGCAGTCTTGATTAAGATTGATTAGGCTTAGTTTGATGATCTATGATTTGCTTTTCATTGATATATGGGAACGAGCTTTTTTCTAACATAGTGTAATGTGATGAACAACATTATTTGATTCGAAAATGCTAGAACTCTATTTGTTTGAAGGATTTTACAGAGGACGCAGAACTATCAAGTTATATCATAAGCATATCTAAAAAAAAAAAAAGATTGACATTTTAATGAAATGTGATGGAGATTTAAAGATTTAAAATCTTATTCTATTGGTAAGTTTTTTTTTTTTTCATACACTTTGAGAAAATCTTCTTGAAAATTTTATTGTTTATTTTTGGCAATATTAGAAGACAAAAAAAAAAAAGGTAACTGATCATGATGCCCCATTTGATTTTAACATTTCAAATGGTACTTTATGGATCATCTATGTCAAGTGTTAATTAGATCCACGGTTTTAAAGCTGTATATAGAATGAGCTGTCTCTGATTGGAAATCATAGAATCCCTTTCACTTGTACATGATTTTAGAGGCTAATTATTAATAATAATATTATTATTTAAAAAGGTGGTATAAATTTATAAGGCATAGTAGTAGAAGTGCACAAATAATTGGTGACCTTGGTTGAAATGCTCTTTGGTTTGCCAGCAAATAGACCACAGTGGGTTTCTGCCATTTTGCTGAAAATCCATTTGGTGGTTTTGGTCAGCTTCATGAAACTTAAAATATCACTCTTTGTGGTTTCTAGAGAAAGCCATGACAAGGATTTGTAATTTGAATATTTTGTAAATCTTGGAGTTGATTATAATGCAAATGCCTTTGAAGTTCCCAATCTTTCTTCAAACCATACTTTAACTTCCTCTACCTGAAATTACTATTTGAAAAGCTAAAAGCTACTTCAAGTTCAACTTCTTTTTTTGAACTGTAAGATCTTCGAGAGAACAAGGTTATTTATCAACCCATACCTCTTCTTTGTTGCTTTTTCCAGAACCTGAGTCAATTCCCATTTTGATTTAGCCACAAGCAACTATTGATTACCTCTTCTATGTTCCAATTATGTTCTTGGTCTAGAAACATTTACAAGAGTGGCTTACACACACACATATTCAGTAGAAGGTAGACTATGACCATTAATATTGCTTTGTGCAGATTATGACCATTAATATTACTTTGTGCAGATTATGACCATTAATGTTGCTTTGTGCAGATTAATTTAACACAATGGAAATTGATCTTGAGTCCATTGAGTCTCAAAGTGTGGATGTTGAGGTTGAAGAGATTGATGGGTCGAGTTTTCATACCGAAACTCAAGGCGTTGATCTCCAGAAAAGAAAAAGGAAGCTGACCTCAAAAGTTTGGAGTCACTTTGTTCATCTTCCTTTGGGTCCGGACAAGAAATTGAAGGCCAAGTGCAAACATTGTAGCTCTGTGTACCTCGCAGACAATAAGTACGGAACTGGTAATCTGAAACGCCATCTTGTGAATTGTCTAAAAATCTCCTACCGTGATATAGGGCAGATGCTCATTGCCCAAGAAGCTGGTGCAGTGACACTTGGTGGAGGTAAGTATGATCCCGAAAAATTTCGTGAGTTGGTTGTAGCAGCTATAATCATGCATGATCTACCTTTTAGTTTTGTTGAATATGCGGGAATAAGGTTTGTATTTCAGTACTTGCACCCTCAAATTCAATTGGTCTCTAGAAATACTGCAAAGGCTGACGCTTTAAAGTTTTACAAGAGGGAAAAACTTCGAATTAAATTGATGTTAGAGACTATCCCAGGTAGAATTAGCTTTACTTCTAATGCATGGACTTCTTTGACTAGTGATGGATATGTTTGTCTCACTGCGCATTTCATAGATAAGAATTGGAACTTACAGAAAAGAGTGTTAAACTTTAGTTTTATGCCACCCCCACATAGTGGCGTTGCTTTGTCTGAAAAACTTTATGCCTTTTTGAGTGAATGGGGAATTGAAAACAAGGTGTTTAGTGTGACATTGGATAATGCTTCTGCGAATGGTGTTTCGGTTGACATGTTAAGAGAGCAATTAGTTGCCAAAGGGGTTCTTGTACACAATGGCGATCTATTTCACATGCGATGTTGTGCACACATACTAAATTTAGTTGTGCAAGAGGGTTTGAAGCAGATTGATGATTCAATTGTTAAGATTCGTGATAGTGTCAAATATGTCAAGGGATCCCAAGTGAGGAAGCAAAAGTTCTTAGATTGTGTGAAGTTAGTTGCAATTGGTGATAAGAAAGGGTTGTGTCAAGATGTACCAACTAGGTGGAACTCGACATATCTTATGCTTGAAAGTGCTCTTTACTATCGCCGTGTATTTCAACATTTAAAGTTGAGTGATTCAAACTACAAGCATTGTCCTTCTAGTGCCGAGTGGGACAAAGTTGAAAAGATTAAAACTTTTTTGAAGTTGTTCTATGATGCAACTCTTAAATTTTCTGGAACAAAGTATCCCACTGCCAACTTGTACTTCCTTTCCATTTGGCATTGTTGCTTCATGTTGAAACAATATTTAGAAGGTGATGATGAGTACTTAAAGTATATGGCAACAGCAATGTGGGGCAAGTTTCAAAAGTATTAGTCTCAATTCCATCTTACCTTGGCTATAGCATGTGTTCTAGATCCTCATTTTAAGCTTAGGCTTGTTGAGTTTAGTTACAAAAAGCTTTATGGAGATGATTGTGTTGAATGCATATCAATGAGGAGTACGTTGTACTCTATTTTTGAAGAGTACAACAAAAAGAAGAAGGATTCAACTAGCCAAAAGACCAATGCTTTTGAAACTTGTATGATGAAAAAAGAAGGAAATGATTATGTGGATATTATATTCAAGGTAATTTCTCTATTTATTAGTAATGCGGATGTTATATGCTTATGTCTGATTGT